AAATCATTTGAATGGTAAGGAGAAATATTGCGCTTCCCAGGCCTTATCTTTTACTCGCAAAACAAGTTCGCTTTACGATCTATCCCAGCTAGGTGCGCTCGTAGGCTTCATCCTATGCCAATGCTTTCTCATCAGTTAACAGCGTTGCGATTGACACGAAGAAGAATCGTCAAAGCCGAGGCGCAATGTCAGCAAATCATCAACATTATTGAGCCTACAATGCATTTAATTTTCTTGTTATTCTTATTTGTAGATGTGCTACGTCTTCACGTTTCAAGGCATTTGGGGCTGAGGAGAATGCTTCCATGGAATTGTCAAGCATACCCAGCTGTATCAGCGCATGAGAGACTGGAGCTGTCAATTTCTTGTAAGTGCATATGAGGTGGACTACTAATACCCTAGAATTTGGAGAACTGGAATATTCTCTTCCTGAATTAGGAGACGGGTTTAACGTTCTCTTCCATCAACTCTGATTGTGTGATGAACATTTAGCCAAAGCTTTGATCTGAAATGACAACACGCGAGCTCTTATCTCATGAACTTCAATTTATCAATAGTCCTGTTCGGACCTAGGAAACCCGGCTTTTCCGGCGGGGCCTGAGCGAAGGGAGAGTGAAGACACGCATCGGTGTTCCAGAGTGGTACGAGTTTGCTCCGTGGAGGCGTCTATATTTGTTTTGCCAACTGGCGCTAGTCTCAGGCCCACGCGGTCAATTCGAGCCAGTGACCCTTGGCTAAGACATTGGACATCCCAGCGCCGCTGATGTATCACAGAGCGTAAACAGAATTTCGACCGCGTAATTCATGGGAGAGTAAAGACACGATCAAGATCATTGGCCTATTACAAGCTCAACCTCTCGAGCCGAGCTTTTCTTCATTGCGGCGATCGTGCCTCGGCTGATGTTAAAATGAGAATTCTCAAGGCTCAACTTGACGCGTGCATCGAGCTGCATCAAGCTGTGAGGGTATTTTGGAGAAAAGCAAAGAGTTTCACGAAAACACGGCTTGCGTAATTTCTTTTGGTCGTCACCAAGCTAGGGAAGTGTTCGCTCGTGCCGCCACAGCGGGATTCCGTCAAATCTCCAACGCCTTTCCGCAGAGTCAACGTGCTTATTCGCACATCACCTGTCAATATCACAGCTAGCGCGAATTGGCGACTAAGAGAGGCACCCCACCGTCAACACTATTCGCCGTTGACTAGCTTGACTTGCAAGCTGACCATGCGCACCAGAGACACTTGTCTCTTGATTGCCTCGTACAAATGCCGGAAATCCCGAGCAGGCGCATGTTCTGTGCAAGGGGCACGTGGGAATACACCAACCGTTGTTCGCTTGAAATATGCAGCACGCCTTCGCATTGTTGCACACGTGTGATTCGAAAGGTAATCAACCTCCAGCCAGTCTTGATCGACCTTTCCATCTCAGCCGTCCAATGTAAAGCTAAGAACGGAACTCCGCTCTCAACTGCTTCAACGTCAACTGTCCCTCGACGTTTGCAATCCGCCCGAACAGTATACAGTGATCAGATGGCAATCAGCGACTGGTCTGGGCATTCGGCTATTGTCGAAGACGGCAAGAAGCGGGAGCTGGCGCCTCCAGATATTGCGGCAGTCGATCGATCCGACAACAGGCCTTCCGGTACATACGTAGCGATTCCCATTTCGACGGAGCCCATGGCATCCCGGAGCAAACGATCGTGGCTTCGACGATATTGGATTTTTGTGCTCGCGATGGCCATCCTCATCGTTGGTGGCATCATTGCTGGTGCCGTTGGGGGGATCACTGCTTCTCATCAGGCAGAACAGAGGGGTTCCACCTGAGCTTGTGATGAACAAGAGAATTGTTCGACTCGATGTCCAGAAAGACGATCCATGTAAGTCATTCGAATGAATCGCTCAGCCTACGGTGTCGTTTCTAAAACCAGAAAGTGACTGACGGTGTTGTTGGTGTCAAAGACGTTTATTTCATTCGATACCCCAAACCCTAGCGATTTTTTGGCAGCATCTTCCGATGTGGCTATCAATTTAGAGCCGCCTGCGTTCCGATAATTTGCTTGAAGCGGATTGATCTGCGACTGCCGTCCGGGCCTGACTGCCGGACTGAGAAGTCCAGGCATGATGTGGAAGTGGCCCCGGAGAGACTGTTTGGTTGTCTAAGGTCTCACTTAGCACAGAGCACCTAGCTCTTAGTCGACACGAAAATGACGATCGGGACGCTATAGAGGACGAAAAACATTGAAGACGATAATGGGCTGCTCCGGGCGAAAGGAGATTGAGACATCATGGGAGGCAATTTTGCTCCGGAAACTCGCACGCTGTTCATGATCCTACGGGCCGGGACACTGCCCCGCGTCCGTCTCGGAATCGCATTGCTAGAAGATGACCACTCGACATGTCGTTGCACAGACCCAGTGAACTCGGCACTATGCCGATGCAGGTCTATGGCCGCCACATACCCGAGGTAGCGCCAATGAAACCCAAGTAGAGTCCAAGTGGTATCCGTAGGCAGCAGAAGAACTGCTCCTGGGCGGCTCCTGAGCGGCTCTTCTGATCAATCAGCCAATGTGAAGAGATGCAATACTAACGACCAATCCCAAGTGATGTAAAGGCAATGTCAGCTCCAGTAGATGGGTCTATGTCAGTCTGGTGTCACATGAGGTTTCAAGCCGGATGGATCTATGGCTTCGGACGACCGGCGGACGAGATAACAGATCTCAAGGATGGGAATCATCCTTGACGGGTTGAGATGACGGATAGGAATTACATCCGTGATTGATAATTTTAGGACTAGATTTCCAGCACATCCCTGGGGAGGTGCCCGATGGAGGTCATCGACAGCTCACCGAGGCCCCATTTTGGCGCTTAGAAGCAGAGGCGGCCGCCCTTGATGCGGGGAATTCTGGGGAAATAGTGTGAATGACCCGCGGGCCGGCCGCAAGGGTCTGGGCCGGTGAACTCTATTCTGACTTGGCAAGGGGTGAGGTTTCGGTAGTTACATTTTGCCCATTATTGAGATCAATGGCCATCGTTCTGTTATTGCCTTATGAAATGTATCGTCTGATCATTCTTAGTATAAGATATAGCTGGAAGATGCCGTTTACAAATGCATTTAACACTACTATCCTCGTCAGCAAACAAGACTTCACACAACATTGCCCCCTCAACTACACAAAGCAATGGCTCCTGGTCGAACAGACGACGAAGCGGCTGAGGTCGCCACCTCATCCAAGACACATGCAATTTCGAATTATGGTCTGACTACGAAGTGGCCGGAGGCCTACGATCTCGCTGGATCCAATCTGCCATGCCGTCTAGAAGGTGAAATTGGCGACTTAGTAGTCCTGGGAGAAATCCCAAAGGAGATCGACGGCACCTTCTACCGAGTCATGACAGACCCCTTCGTGCCGCCCCATCCCAACAATGTTCCCCTAGACGGCGACGGCAACATCTCAGCATTCCGTATCAAAGATGGGAGAGTCGATATGAAGATGCGCTACGTCGAAACCGAGCGTTACAAGCTCGAGCGCAAGGCCAACAAGGCCTTATTTGGTCTCTATCGCAACCCATTCACCCATCACCCCTGCGTTCGTGCCGCAGTGGATTCCACCGCCAACACCAACGTCGTGTTATGGGCCGATCATTTTCTCGCCCTGAAAGAAGGAGGACTGCCCTATTCAGTTGACCCACAGACCTTGGAAACCATCAAATACGACCCTTTTGGACAAATCAAAGCAAAGACATTTACAGCTCACCCCAAGATCGATCCCTACACGAATGAGCTAGTCGTATTCGGATATGAGGCCAGAGGTCTTGCGTCGCTGGACATTGTCATTTACGCACTGGACAGCAACGGCGTGAAGCACGACGAGCAATGGATCAAGTCACCGTGGTGCGCACCAATCCACGACTGTGCCATCACGCCAAACTGGATCATCCTGGCACTTTGGCCATTCGAAGCTAGCGTGGATCGCATGAAGAAGGGAGGGCACCACTGGGCCTGGGACTATGATCTTCCTGCTACCTTCATCGTAGCCCCCCGTCGAAGTTCGACCAAGCTTCCGCCTGGCTGGCAGCCGGGCGAGAGTCGGGTGTACTCGTGGAAGAACTGCATGCTCATTCACACGGGCGGTGCGTGGGAGAGCGAGGACGGGGAGACGCTGTTCATGGAGACGACTCGTGTGCACGACAATGGCTTTCCATTCTTCCCTACGAACGAAGGAGTTTATCCGGCCCCTAATCCCAAGTCTGATTACGTTCGTTGGACTTTTGATCTCTCCCAGCCCACGAATAGCACGGTTCCAGATCCGGAGATTATTCTCGACATGCCTGCAGAGTTCCCTCGGCTTGATGAGCGTTTCCTGTCGAAGTCATATAACTACGTCTGGATCAATGTCTACATTCACGAAGACCAGAGCGGTGATGGCCATACTATTGTCGAAGGACTGAACGGTCTGGCGATGCACAATTCAAAGACGAAAGAAACTAAGTGCTTCAACGCCGGGCCTGAGTCGTTCTGTCAGGAGCCGATCTTCATACCACGAAGCGATGATGCGCCGGAGGGAGACGGATGGGTCATGACCATGGTTGAGCGCAGAGGTGCCAACAGAAACGAGATTGTGGTGCTGGATACGAAGGATTTCGAAAATCCCATCGCTGTCATTCAGTTGCCCTTCCATGTCAAGGCACAGGTCCACGGAAATTGGGTCGATCAGCGCCGGTTGAAGGCGTGGCAAAAGCTGGCGAGGGGTGCGGTGCCTGAGCCCATTAGTGGGCAAGGAGCACTGGAGCCATTGTAAATCTAGCCATTAATTCTACAGTTACCCCAAGTCTTCTCTTGAAGGCTGAGCTACAATGATGTTGTGATGCTTGTCTTGGAAGTTTTGAGATAAATGAAGCTACACCGATGGCTATTTCAGATGCCTCCAGGAGCTGTCATCGAGGCTTGACCAACAATTCCATTTTTAGTCCTTAGACTAACTCAGTCAGACTCCAGATGAGGAGTCTAGCCAGTACCGCAGTAATCAGCGTACTGCTTGGAACTGGATTCCGGGTTTCCCCACCACTGCAATGTTGTTAGAGGAAACTATAGACTTAATCTCAATCTATTGACAATACTCACCGTGGGAAATGGCACCTCTTTCCCTGATCCACCCGCAACGGCAAAGGTCAAGATGAACATCATGACCTTGGCGCCTGCATCGAGACCACCGCCGACGATGTAGTTGTATTTGCCGAACCAGGCAGGATGACGCAAACGCATGTACCATTGAGACCACAAGCCAACCACGACCTGAGACCAGATGACAGAAGTAGTTCCAGATGTCGTCTCTGAGGCATTGTGGAATATGACAGGGGTGACGAACTTGCTTACTTCCCAGCCATAGATAGTCCTGTACTTCTTGGATACAAGCCACAAGGCAACGGGGATAGCAGCCCCGACGACGATGGAGAGAGGAATCCTGAAAGCAGCTGTGAGAAGATGTCAAAGCACCGAGAGTTTTCTTTGAGATATTCACCAGCCATAACCATCTTTGCCGAATCCATAGACATACTTGGCGAGAGACCAGGTGACTGCAGTCGTGTTAAGAGACTGAATCTTGCGTCCGCTCCACTAGTTTTGGGTTAGATCTGAGGACCAGAGTTTGAGGTCAAGACCAACTTACAACTTGGGTGCCGATAGGGTCAAGGAGGATTTCTCGGCGATTTGCTACAATTGTGTCCATTATAACGTAGTTCAGAGCTGTCCCAAATAGACTTCCCCAAGTTTGCAGGATGAACATGGTTCTCCACGGGATCTTGAGATATTGGGCCATCTTGAGGTCAGTTGACAAGAATACAGAGAGGACAGTAACCTCGTGACTGAACATCGAGAAGTATAAATTGGCGACAGGTTTTCCGGGTTGAAGTACGCCGCACAGCATCTTGGAAAGGTTGTTCGTGGCGACGCTAGTGCCCAGTAGGCCGTATAAGCATAGCGAAAATGGCGCGACAATGCATCCGAGAAGCTACGAGAACGATAAGAGTCATAATAAAATTAGTGGGAAAGGCGAAGTAGACTTACAATGGCGCAAACATACGCCCAGGCATCAAGCGTGGTGTGGCCCTTGATGACGGCACCAAGGCCAGTGAAGAAGCCGACGAGAAGGATGACAATGTACCACCAGATCGGTACGTCTTTGTAATTTTCTTGCATAATCTTGTAGTGAATATCTGTCTCTTCCTTCTTCCAGGCTTGTTTCAAAGACCGCTTAATGCTGCTGAAGTCAGAAAGGGAGCGATACAAAACTGATTGGTTTATGGACAGTGGACTTACAGTGGCCCGTAAAACAGAGCGATATGGGTCAGTAGCGCTCCTATGGCAGCCATCGCGGCCATGTTCGCCCAGACGTTGGACGCCGTCAACCGAGGGAGCCCATGTACCTCCAACGCCTCAGTATCGAGGATCGCGTTTTGCCCAAACACAGCCGTCTGGTTGTAGACCTTGCCAGTCTTCCCGTCAAACATGGCCGTGGACATGAAAGGGAACTTCTTGGCACCCCATGCTCCACCGTAGTAGAGACTGAAGCACATGATGTAAGAGAGCACGATGCCCACCCAAGAGTTGGCTTGTTGTAGGAGCGGCAGGGACATGTATCGCGACGTGATGTACTGCCAGTCCAGGGAGAAGTTGAAGATTCCCTGGCCCTCGTTGGAGTTGATGCCGCCAAAGATGGTCATTAGGACCTTCCGAGTTGGTGGTGCGGCCTTCATAGAAGCGAGACATGGGATGGAGATGCCGTTCAGCCAGGGCCAGACGTAGGATACTATGGGCTCCCATATAAACATGCCAATGGAGGTGAAGCCAAACACTCGGAGCCTGTCTTTGTTGTTGCCTTCGGGCTCGCGGTGGAGAGTCTGATAGATGGAGATCATGGGGAGGCATTGCCACCAGACCATCTCACTCGCTGTCTTGGGTCAGAACAGGTCCTCATCTCTGATAATTGGCAAGGGTCCCAAAATATGACTGACGATGAACGATGATGGATCTCAGGATGCCAACGAGACCATATCCGAAGATTGATGCCGAGAAAACTGTCAGAATTGCAGTAGCAGGGTCGGTGCTGCGGTTGTAGAACCTAGTTGTTGTTGAGAAGCGAGCTTTCACGTTGAAGGGTAGATTCCAGACTCACAGCCGTTCTGCACCAAACACCTGCACGATTGCAGCGCCATTTCCGCTCGATGTGGAAAGGATCGATGCGACGGCATGTTCCTTCAACCCAAAATGGCCTGGGTTGATAAAGTGAACAACTGGTTCAAGCCATTTCGCTTGCGATGGAAGATACTTTTCCACATGCTGCCGTCGAGGAAGCACAACTGACCAAGCAACTCCGATCACATATGCCATCAAGCACAGAAACCTGACACAAATCGTCAGCATAATGCCTTGGCCCTAGTTGAAGTGGGTTATGCAGCTTACACCGAGGCAAATGAAACATCGACAGGCTTATAAAAGTAACTGTGCGTGCAGCTTCAGTACGAGACATCAGAAAACGACATGGGTTCTTGTTACATTTGATTGATGCAGGCCGCAAGGGCTGTAAGGCCTGTGTAAAGTTAGCTCGCCGAAGCTTCAGTCATTGTACCGAAAATAATCATACCAGAGCCAATGATGAACGATCGAAAGGTACAAGATGCATCTCCATCGTCTTGGGTACTAACGACGTATCTTGCTACATCGTTGCCTTCGCGAATCAGCTAAAGTTCAGAACCATGCGCTGCAGTCAAAAGTTCCATGACTTTACATACCATCCCTGATAACGACACCACCATTGACGAGCTTTCTCTCGTCGTCCGACTCATGCCGCTCAGGATCCGTCGTCTTCAGGCCGTCGTCTGACTTGTCGTCCTCCAGAATCAGACGTACATCATTCGAAGCGCCGGCTGCTGGCGAAGGGACACCTGCGTCCAACGCAGTGGCAGTGATAAGCGTGCTATCTTTGTAATCCTTCGTGCTCTTCCCGAAGCCTGCCATTTTGACGGAAGCGGGGTATGTCCTCGAGAAAGGCAGGTTCCGTGGAGGTTCTCACACCGCATAGGCTTCTCTCAGTTCCTTATATCACTCATGCAAGGTTATTTGAATGTATACTCCTCAGGCCCGCAAATCCTCTCTCATCACGTCAACGGGGCTATTTTCTTAATTCCGGCAAAAGCCCACTGACTTGACGCAGCCAAGCATTCGGTATCGGTCAAGGTAAAGTCATGGTCCGCTCGCCGTCCCAAAATCGCGGTACCTCGTTGTGATCGTCCGAGTGCGGACGTTGATTTTACGCAATGTCGGACTGCCGCCGACACATGGGGTGAACTACCGGCGGCTAAATTGGATACCGCACCCAAAAGTCTTTTCGGTGATGGAATGACGCGAGATCCGCCCGGCCAGTCGCCATCGTGCCTTGCCCCACACAGCCCGGTTCGGCTCCGACTTGTCGGGGTGGCCCTGTGTTCAGAAAGATGCCAAGGAGTTGTCAAAGTGTTTCCTGAGTAATGCACGAGTATTCAATGGACCTAAAACTTGATTTACGTGAAGGTTTTTTTGGCGCGTCTGTTGACTATCTTCAGCCGAAAGCACGTATGATCATTCAGATCCGGGACGTTGCCGATTACCGGCAGTGTTTTGAGATGGATCTTCCTGCTTCGGTGCTCCAGGAACAGACAGGTAATGCTCTCAAGTCCTTCTTACGGACAAGAGGCCAGCGTCGGTCTTCACTGCAACGATGGCGTTTCTTTCAGGAACAGTGCCGTGGCAGATCTATGCTCCTTAGGCGACGGCAACCTTGGACGGCTTGTTTGTGATATTTTTAGGGGATTATAGAATGAAGCAGATAAAACGCCGCTTTCGTCAATGTCGTTGCCAAGACGCTTGAGGCTCTTTTGCGGCTTGGAGAGAGGTTTGTTAATGTCAAACTGCTTGGTCATCTCTTTGTTCGTAAGAAGTTCAAGATCTACCGCATGATCGGAGCTTCAATGCCATCAGAAATACCGCATTCCCCATTGCAATATCCAACTTGGCCGTTCAAGGTTACACATACCTTTGCATGTGAGACCGATGTGCCATAGAGGGGTGATACATTTTCTTCTCTTTCATCAGGCAAGGAGTCGCAAGATTGATTCATGAACACATGGCAAACAAGTTGTATGCAGGTGAAAATCCGGCGCCAGAAGACATCCGAGCCAGAGCCAGTTTCGTGACAAGCATCTCCTCCTTATACAGTGCTTGGTTCTGGGATTCCTAATTACATACTTAGGTTGGTGTGGGAGGGTCCTGCTAGAGTGAGAATGTTACTGTTACTTATCATTTTGCGTAAGAGCACTTGGAAAGGTGGCCCTGTGCTCGCCAATCAACAGTATGTTCAGATTTTGACGTCTAGGATGCACTCATCAGGCACTTTCCCCGTATCATCAAAGAACGTGATAGGTGTTCGGGTTCCCTTGCGGGATACAACATGATTTCAATCCTACCTTCGGGACTCATCCTCAGAACAATGTTTACTGCAAACCACCTCCAGTCCTTGCCGACAGTTCTCCTGCCTATCCAAATTCTTGTCCTTAATTTTTCCTCTCACATAATCCGCTCACTGGTACCTGCCTTGATCGCTGCCATGATCTTCCCCTCCATCTTCCTCGCCATATTCGTGATGGCCTGCGAAACCATTACAGCACCATACAAGTCCTCTACGGTGCTCGACATCATCCAAAGCAGGATAGAGAAGAAGATACCAGCAAACTCCAAGGCTTCTTGCTCAGACGTTCGCTTCTTCGGCCCGAGAGTCCTCGTAGAAGAGGGTAGCAAGAAGAAGGATTCAACCCCCTATCTCGTGGCTAAGTGTGACGACGGCAAGGGAGGCCAAATGTGCTCCTGGATGCCCCTGACCGCCTGTTTCGCAAACGCCCACGGCGAAATAGTTTACCGGAGATAGTGAGAAGTTTTCAATGTTTTCTTGTTGAACTTGTTTGCTGGGCACGGTGGTTCGTTCGACTAACTTTTCTCGAAGCGGCGCATTCTTCAAGTCTTGCGTGGATTGCAAGTATGAGAACGTTGGCGCAAACATGAAATGCGAATGCCAGGGTCCCAAAGGCTCGGTACAGGCCAGCATCAACTTGAGTAAGTTCCCACTCCTGTCTTGTCTACCGTTTGTGAAGTCTGGAGTATTCGCTCAACTACTAGGAAAACAGACGAGTGGATGGACAATAGGGGAGGACAGCTAGGGTGCCACAGATTTGGAGGGAACGTAATTGATTGTACTGAGCATGAGATGATAACAACCCGCTTTCATACAACTCCCGATGTCATTCCAGATGAGCCGGAATGGGCTTTCAAGGGCGGCTTGTGAGAAAGCATGGCTAAACCTTTGTTGGGGCCAGTTATCGAGCTTGGGTACACTAGCAAACAGGTCGTTCTTTCATGAATTTGTCATGAAAGGGAGCATGTACGACGTATCTGGAGTATCATGTTATGGCAGCTGTTGTCTTGGAAGCCCTCGTGGTTCTGAGGATGGTAGTATTCACCCAAATACCATTCAATTGTCATGTCGACCTCGTGGCCAAGAACCTCGAGGCGGCCAACCATATCAATATCACACAGGCCAGTCGAGTGGATTGAACCGAAGCTTAGAAGGCCATGCAGCGATGCTGGGCCCATTCACCACGTCGGAGCCTCACCGAGACTCTAATACATAACAGCTGCTACCTCCGTCATTGACTCGGCTTTTTACCTGATTTAAGTAGAGGCCAGAGCTGACCTACGATAATGCACTTTCACCCTAGCTGTGTATTTTGTTCTGACAGGCAAGAGAATCAACACCACGATGAAGTGCTTCGTAGTACTCCTCGCTGCCACAACGTTGGCAATGACAGCCCCAGCCGACCTCGAAAAGTCGAAGAATGACGACAACTTCCTCCACAACTGCGATTTCGTCAACTTCGGTCTCGGCGACAATGACCAGAACCCTTGGATCCACTACTCGTGCCCCTTGAACAAACCACCCTACATGCAATGTTCCCGTCTGGAACTCAACGACTGCATCATCAACGATCACGGAGTCCTGCGTGGACAAGAAAAGTAAGATGAGGGAAATCGTGGCATAAGACCCTTGACGCTAATCACGGTCCCATAGGGGAGGGTTCGCAAAAAGCTGCAAGGACTGCGTCTACCTTCACGAGATTGGCAACCTCGTCTGCCAGTGCGCATTTGGAAACCCAACCCAGTTCCGCGAGACCCATAGATACCTTGGTGAGTACAGCTATAAGAGCATGGAGCAATGTAATGCCATGCCTATGCTCTTTCTGCTAACGCATGAAAATAGACCAGGATGTGTGGCTCTCTGGCAGTAAGCTAGGTTGCTTCGGAATGAAGTCTAGCAGCAAATGTTGAGTGGTATTGGGTAGTCCGAGACACACGACCTTTGTGCTGATTCAGGAGAAACCATGCAAGGCTGGGGAGACTTCCATAAGGTAGCTATACAATACAATTACTTCATGGTCGTTGTTTGCGGTGAGCTTCGCACGTAGAAAGTGGTGACTTCTCGGAGATTACCATCCGGAAGCCAATTAGAATGTGCTGCCCGTAGAATATGGTAGCCTTCAATGGAACATCGAAGAGTTAAATCGCCAAATCGGAACGGAAAGCAGACAGGCGGGTCAATTGAATGAAAATCCACTTAAACTTCAGGACTTTGACGCGCCGACGCGTTGACGAGATTCCAAGAAGACTGACCAGGGCATCGAAATTCTACTAAGCGAGCCGAGGGGTCGTCATGCACTTAAACGATGGCTGCGAGGGCTCCACACAATGCGGCTACAAAAATCTGATCGCGCCTCTTTCTCTCCCTCAATCTTCCACTTTCATCCTCACGCTTTCTCCTTTCCTGCCCACTGCGGCACCTCAAAAGCAACCCCCCGAGCACATTCCGAGAAAGGCGCTGTTTGGTGCGCTTGAAAAAGCAGCCATGGGCGCGGTTCATCTCTACCTCATTCGCCACGGCGAATCCGTCGATAATGTCGCGAACCTCTAGTACGCATTTCCCACACCGACACAATACCACTTTTTGTGAGCCTGCCGGATTCTAGTCTGGGTCGCAGCTTTCTTTTTCGTCTCTTAGCGAAAAGTCAAACTTGTCACCCATTCTAACTAGCAGCGCGCTCTTTGTGGGCGTGGCGCGTGTTTGCAGTGCTGGGTCTCGCGACGCACCTTTGACGAACCATGGCGTCTTGCAAGCCAAGCGCCTGGGTGAACATCTCGCGACGCGAACCGCTGCGGCCTCGGCCCCCATCACGCATGTCTTTTCGTCGAATCTTCAAAGAGCCCACCGCACTGCGATGCTAGCAGCCCACACTGGCGATGGCGATGCCCAGGCATCGTCTAGTACCGGCGCGGGGTCCATACCCTTAACGGTTGGAGTGGCCCCGCTGCAGTTAGCAGAGCTCCGGGAGAAACATTTTGGAACAGGCGAGGGTCAGAGGTTCGGCGCCCGGTCGTCTGGAGAGAAGCATGAAGGCGCCGAAGACCACGACTCGATGCGTGAGCGTGCGGAGCGGTTCGTTGACGAGTACCTCGCTCCTCTCTTCGCTTGCGTCGAAGGAGAGCGAGATGAAGAGCAAGAGGGTGCCAGCAACGGTACGGAGAGCATCATCATTGTTGCCCATGGCATCATCCTGGGCGTGCTGGCGAGGGTTCTCCTTGCCGCTGGCAACTTTGGGTCTTTGGCAACTGGCACGTCGGACCAGCAACAGCGTTTCTCGTGGACCAACACTGGTTATCTCTTGATTCATATCAAGTCGATGCCGGCAGTCGACGCGAAAGAGTCTGCTGGTCTGCGAAGCGGTACGCAGGAACCTAGATGGCCCCATCTGAAGCTTGAAATTGTGGAAGTAAACTGCACCGAACACCTTCGCGGGTTGAAAAAGACGCGCGGAGGGATTGGCAGCGCAAAATTTGACGAGAAGCAGAAGACGCTCAGCGCGTTCTTCAAACCGACTGCATCCAAACGGAAGCACGAGGACAGTTGAATGGACAGAGTTGGCTACACCATGGGAGTTTTACTCACCCGTCCTATCTTGGTCAATTAACAAATGGTATGTGTACAATTTTCATTTCGTCACCAACCCCTTAGAGGTGCGCTTTTCATGATGAGGCAAGAAATTCACAGACCTGTACCGAAAGTATACATGTGGAAACAACTTCAGTCCAACCGCTGTCTGACATACAAGCGCTATTCACCTCCATTTGTTACTGATCACTTTGAGGAGCCTCGGCTAACATTAAAAAGCCTTCACAGAGTACAAGACGCCCCAACGCAAAACCCCACACTTGAATCATCAAGAGCCTCTGCAGAGCAAAATACGCTCAGAGGAAACCAATCCATTTGAACCACGGCACTGCACCTACGAGTCTTGCGCTCGCTATTGTCGGTGGCCCTATGTCTTCTGGAGGCGGGATTCTGGTCTATCAGTCAGGCGCACCGAAGACACAGGGCCGAAATAAACACATGTCAGAAGCCAAACTGTCTACAAGCAAAGCGGGACAAACGTCAGATGCACACTGCCTATAATCAAAGCGTAACATGACCATCGATGAGTGCTGGAGGGTTCGAACCCCTCATCCCGTGGCCAGGGGGGCCGGTACTCATCAGTCACCTCGGCGGCCTTTTCAACAAGGTCTTTGCTTCAGGGTGTAAATATTAAACTCTTTTCACGGGAATTATCACTTGTCTTTGCAGTTTCTGAGATACGTATTGGGCTGAATATTGATGCCGGTGGCGTGGGAGAGGAAGAGTTTTAAAGTCTAGATAGGTACTGCATGTCGAAAATGAATAGAAACAGAAGTAGTCAACGTAAGAAACCACTTTTATGGTCTTCATTATCAATTTGCATTGGGAGTTTGGCTCCATGAAGCCATATCTGCCGAAATAATTGAATGCTACCTCAAAACTGTGAATGCCATGCCGATACAATCATCTAGTCATTATTCATACAAAACAAACCACTCCTGTCCTATTCTTACCCTATACATCCGTACTCCATTCGTCCGTCTCCGTGAAGATCTTGTAGATCCTCTTACTGACAGCCTTCCCAATGGCCCGATCCGAAAAACCGCCATCCTTATTCGTACTCTTGCGGCAGTTCTCCAGACAAAGCGGCCCTCGCTCCTCAAACGCCTTGACCAGCTCCCCGACCGTCCCAAACTCGGACACGATGCCGTACGCCACGGGCTGCGTGACGCGCACAATCTCCTGCAGCATCCGCACGTAGGTATCTTTGACGTCCTCGCCCGTGCGGACCTGGCCTGTCTCCATGCAGAAGCCGGCGCCCGCGGCGTTGGTCGCCTCGCGCTGCTTCCGGTACGGCACCATCGAGATGTGCTGCGTGAAGACTGCGACCCACTGCGCCGTCTCGACGGCCGCGGCGGTGTGATGGATCAGCACGTCGTACATGACCTGCAGCTGGAGCAGGGCGTCTTCGACCGAGTCTTCGTCAATGTACTCCTGCGGCTGCTGATTCTTGCGCCGCCGCGGTTGAGGGGCGGGAGCGGCTGCACTCGTCGAAGCCTGGGCATCTCCTGCTGTTGTAGCATCTTCGCCGCGCACGGCAGATGCGAATTGTCGGTTCCGAATGTTGCGATTCTTTCTCATCCAAGGGTTGAGGCCTTCGATTAGATAGATGAGCTGTTCCTGTGGGAAATGTTGCTTCATCTTGGAGACGTGGGCCTCGAGGTTGTTACCCTCGGGTCCCAGGGCGTATGTGACAAATTCAGACGCAGTGACAATGACAAGCGCGAAGTTGTCTGGTTCAATGCGCATAGGAATCGGCTCCCAGTGCCCGAGCTCGTCGTTGAACCGACTCGCAACTTTTCTCCTCCACTTAACCACGTTGTCCACGGGACTCTCCCAGGTAGAGTGCTGCACGTCGAGGTCTTTTAACAATGTCTGTATTTGAAGCGTCATGGCCGGGGGCAGGCTAGCCGGGAGATCTGCAATCATTTCGGGGGTTGACACCTTCTTGTCGGTCCTGATCTTGTTGACCTCTGCCAGCGCAGCCGCTCGTTCCTTTTCCTTGGCCTTTTGCTCCTTGGCAGCATCTTTCTCTTGCTTCTTGCGTTCCTTTTCTCTTTCTCGTTCCGCAGCTTTCGCTTCTTTCTCTCTCGTCTTTTCTTCCACTGTTTTTGTCGTCGGTGCGCGGCTGGTACTCGATTTCGAGGTGGCTTTCGATGGCGCCTTTGAGGTGGTTCGCGAAGCTGGCTTTTTCGTATACAATCGTGCTTTGAGTTTCGAAACATCAAAGTTATCGAGGTCTGGAAACTCTCCGTCCGAGTCGGCATCGAGACCGCGGGCTGCAGGCTCCGGCTCAGAGTCGCTGAGATTAATCACAGCGCTAGCGGCTTTGGTCATGGTCTTTCGCGGTGGAGGAGGAGAGCTCTCAAATGGATCACTTCTGGTCTTTAGCTCGGGCGCAGAGCTCGAGATGGGGTCCCAATGAGCCTTTCGTCTGGGCGGTGAGACGGCCTTCTCTTTCCCCTTGACCGCAGTCCCAGCTAATGTTCTTGTATCTGGTGGTTTCATAGTTTCCGTCGGCGCTCGTCTCGGTGAGCTGGCAAATGGGTCGCCATCGTCATCGTCTAAAGTTATTGCACACGGCTGTGGTATCGTTTTCCGTGCCACAGGTGGCGAACTCGCAAAGGGATCATCGGAGCTTAATTGGTAGTTTATGTGGCCGGTCCCGGTGGCTGTAGCATTCGTCGGGCGCGGGTTCTCGCATGCCGGCGCAGGCTGCGCTGAAGGCGGCAGTGCTGCGAACGGGTCATCGGAGTCAAGCCTATCCACCGCCGTTGAAGCAGCTAGAGCACTTGTCCTCGGTCGAGAGAAGACACCGGGAGAACTTGAGAATTCGATTGGTTCCACAACTGAACGTACTCGTCGCAAACCGTCACCCTGCTTCTCAGGCGGCCGGGTGTTGTGATTAGTGGCGGAATGGGAGCGGTCGAAGGAGGATCTGCGGCTGCGACGAGGAGACGAGAGTCGTGGTCTTTTGCGCTCTCGTGGTTCGTTGTTCAACCCATTTTCAATTGGTAGGCTGCTTTCGAGATCGATAGTCGTATCAAAGTCGTCCGAGTTGAAGTAAATGGGCGTATTCACATGATCAATTTCCTCTCGTGCACGTTTTGTTGCTGAATTTGTCAATGACGGGGACGTCGCTTTCGGCAGTACGGACGGGACAATCTCTGGTGATTCGGCTGTAAAATCAAACACATCTTCATCGCCGTATGCCAGCGCCGTTGCGACAGCTACAACAGCCGGTGGCGCAGGACGAGATAGTGGGGGTCTTGCGTTCGCAGAAGAGGGCCCCGAGGGGCTGCTGGAGAGAAGGTCGATCACTTCGGCAGGCATGGCTCTTAGCGATTTGAATCGTTCTTGGCCAGCCTGCGACTATGAGGCGTCGTGAATACGGTGGAGGGCACCTAGGGCATGTTGGAGATGCACCATCGACAGCATGAGATCTCGATGTCATCGACACAGATTCACGGCGCAAAGTCGCGTCTCGCCTTGCGCAGGTGGGGCATCGGGGCAATCGGACGGGTCAGCGCCGATGGTCCTAGCGCGAACCAGTCACGAAAGTCACGTGAGAATGACTGCCGTGCTCTGTCAGCGGCATCTTCGCAGCTGCTCCTCAACACCAAATGCCAGATCAGACCCTGGATCATCTGCTTCAGACTCTCCCGCCTCCTAGATCCGCTGAATCGTTCCTCCACATGATCTCTAGCTTTAGTGAGCAATCTCTGTTCAAGAGGACTGTCTAGATTGGGTCTTTGCCCCGAATGCCATCTGATCCCCATCGGATGCAATACCCAGTATCCCACCGGCCCTCTCCCGTTGGCGTCCCCAAGCGACGTGGGATTGGTTATGCTGCATGCATAGAACAAGCTTCCAGTCTTCAGAGTTCTCGAATTCGGTGTCGGTACGGAGTAATTCTGCTACGGAGACTTCCAACATCAGCTACACAGATGCGTATGAGGATTCAACCGCTTCGAGAATGCATGATCCCCCGCGCTGGCAGTGCACCACGTAGCATGCCGCACGATGGCCACTACCATAATCCACGATGACGAGCGAATCCGACTGCGACTCGACGATCGAAACCTATGCTAGTATCATGCCACAATCCTCAAAAGACATGCGAAGCCGGGCGTACGATTCCTGCCAAGAGGTCCGACCGTCGAGGGGGTAGTGCAGGACGGCGGCCCGACGACTTGACAGGCTGATCGCCTTGCCGCGGGATAGAATGGCTGAGCGATGGGTCACTGGGCTCCTTCTCCCACGTGTCGACGCATGAAACAACGGTTCAATTTCCCCAGTTAGCAGAGCCCCCGGACCGAGCCCTATCTCTACTTGAACAAGCCCCCGTCATGAGGAGAATCGTTCGTGCTCCCGTGTGAGAATAGGGTGCATATTGTGTCCGTTCAGACAGCTATCTCATCACAGGGTGAGATGGGGTTCCCCCATACCCGAGCGAATTGGCGACGATATGGAATCCCACCTACAGAGGTCTAATCGCGCGCACGGCCGGCTAGGATGTCAATAGCCGAACCAAGAACTTGAAGGTTGTAGTTGAGCAGCAGGGGGTTCTGCCGAGACGAGGTGCCAGTCAATGGTAACCCAATCCCCCTTGCTAGTGCAGGATACTTGCGGGTGATGAATCCGCAAAGAGCCAAAAGCGCAGTAGAATATTCAAGATGCATCAGAGCTAGCATCTACGACCCCTCGAGGTTGCAATGCGCCGACTTCGCTTCTTCTTGATGCAGGACTTCGTCCAGTGTTACCATTTCGGCGAATGAATATGTTCCAGAAGTTTCACGATGTGCCTCCTGCAACCCATGTAAGCATTCGCTCAATTCTCGTGTTTGCGATGCAAAGCGCGATACTGCCATGAACAGGTGGCAACGATCTGAAAACCTACGGCCAATACGCAGCCGTGTAGATTTTGTACTGTGGGCTTGACCTGGCCTTGAGGGCTACGTCGATCATCAGTGGCAATCACAAGGGCAACTCTGTCCAGGCTACTATGGTGCTGAAACCAACGTCAGTCTCTTCAAGATTGGCTTCGGCGCTTTGTAACAACGTAGAAGATGCTCAATTTGTACTTGAACGCTGTTAGAGTGTCCCACAAGCAGTTGTTACAAGCTCAGATTAGTAAGTTTTGTGGAAGTAGCGTTTCTTGCACATCCCTCTCACGCTTGAGTTCCCAGACCCGCGCATCGCGCGCTTTTTCGGCGAGGAACAGATCTGAAATCACTCTGGCTTTATTTGGCGCGTAATGACCTCGCTCTTCGAAGGAGACCGATAGTAGTAGAAGCGATTATTTCTCCAGATGAGACA